AATATTTTTTCGTTTTTTAACAGATTTTAGTATTTCTAACTGTTCAATGTAATTTAAACGTCTGTTTTCTCTGTGTAGTAACTTAATTGAGTTTTCATTAATTTTGTAGTTATTTACTATACAATGAGTTGCAAGACCAGAACTATGCTGGAGATTATTAATAGACTTTACATGTTCTTTAATCCTTATATCTAAATTTCTACCTGTTTGGCCTATGTACACGGCATCACAATCATTGCAATCCACCTATACCCGTCATATTCATACACTTTTAATTTTTTGTATAGGTTCACCTGCGTCTGCTTGCGACGAACTTTATTTTATAATACTTTTCAGATGGAGTAAAATTGATAAACAATGCTGATCTAGTTAATACTTGACTTGATCATAAGGACAAGAACTAGAAAATTATTTGTATTTCAAAAAATGTGTTCTTTATTAGATATTGATGAATATCTTCTGAGTCAAATGAGGCACCACTTGTGCCTGAAAAGCCCACTATGTTGAAGCTGAAACGTCGCATAAAAAATATTCCATCTTTCAATTTTATTATAAAACCTCATACCCAAGAAAGGAAAAAACTAATATATGGATATGGTCTATTAAAGGAGGTAACTGTTAACATCCAGACAGCCTCACAGCAACAAAAGAACAGTAACAACGCGAACCAGTGTATTAGAAATGACGTTTCAGAAATATCTTATATGTGAGGATACTGCTTCATCTACCTGTGATTTGGATACTATAAAATTGGGAGGAAGATTCTGTCAGCAGTTGATTCTCAGTTGAGTGAATTTATGTTTAAAAAACTGTTTAGAATTTCTCTCGGTGCCTGACCAAATACAAAAAATGTCATCTACATATCTTTGCCCAATCAGAGAATTTTGATCTATACATTTTGTTGTCCCTAAATAGAAATTTATAGTATCAAAGTTTTTTTTTAATTAAATATATCATTAATGTTTCTTTTCATTAAAGAAAAACATTTTTATCTTATATTAGACTTATATTGTAGGAATCATGTTCTAATGTTATTTCAATTCTTTTTTATCACAGGAATTTATTTAATACTTACACCGTTTTCATACTATAAATTATTATTTCCTTAGATGGAACACAGCTCTAACATTTTTATTATTTATAAGATTTTTTTTCATATCGTGGGACTAAGAACATCATCATTTAGTACAATGAGAGTACTCATCATTTGTGTCAAATAAACCTAGTTTGAATAAATTACCTACAGTAAAAGAGAAGTTCTGCATTTTTGTCCTCTAGAGCCATATGTTCGAAGCACTGTGCAACCGCTGGAACGACAGATCGGATCCGCGTTTATTCACTAACTAAAACTACCATTTGATGTTAATCACCAACAAGTAGTAGTTTTATTTTGCATTCATTTTTAATTCTATTGTGTTCAACGTCAACATGACATCGAATTTATCAAAAAGGACTTCTAGCTGCAATTTTGTTAGTTTTGTTAGACGAAGACGAAGAACAGCCCAAAAAAAGAAGAAAATGGTGCAAAAATTGGTTACAAAAACGGCAACTGTACCCTCATATGAACCTTTTACGTGAAATAAGTGCTAATGAACCAGTCGATTTAAATAAATATTATGTAAATTATTATTGTGTGCCTAGAATAACAACCCTACAAGCAAATTATAAACAAACAACCTGCACATTCATATTTACTTACTTTTTTTAATTCACGTCTAAAACAGTCCGAAAGTTATTAATTTTCTTTTTCAGGAATTCTATTGTAGCATCTGCTTTTATTTCTTTTAATTTTTCCAGTAGGATATCATAACTGGCATTTCTTTTTTGTTTATTTAGGTATTCCTTACTTTTCACATCCCACAAACAAGGTTGATTATGATAAATTTCAATAAATTCTGCCCAAAACTTCTCGCTTTTAAGAGATTGTTTAACCATGTGCAACGAAAAATGTAAACGATCTGTCTGCGACACATAGGGTTTGCACACAAACCATCAAATCGATCGTATATACTGCGTTGTACTACAGATTTTCTGCATGCCATACTTCCGTACGATACGACTTTGTCTTACTACAAGTAGTACTACAAAGCCACTAACTATCCAACCATTGATCCAACGGTCGAAACGATTTGATGTTGTACAACTTGTAGTACGATAAATCGTATAATCTGTGGCCCGTTTTAGATAGGAGAAAGTTGCAAGAGACATTTTTTCTTGGAAATAAACCAAGTAAATAAAAAAATCTCTGAAATTTTTATTTTTTAACAGTGGCGTACTATTTTTTTTATTGAAAAAAATACACATCTACGCAACTGGTTGAAACTAAAATCTCTTCTTTTTAAATTTGAAGTGTCTCTGTTAGGTAGGCCCTATAATAAAATTTTATAACGATACCTTTAACTGTTAAAAACTATTAAAGAATATCTTCAATTTTTCAAAAACTTTAGCACCCTGTATCTTGCGTAAGGGTACGAACATAGTGGAGGCAGGTTTCTGCTTTCCGGCAACCAGCGCCGTCTCTGGGGACATATTCTTGACCACTCGCATCTTCAAATATCGCTCGCATCTCGCATCTCCTAAAAAGCCATATAACAATACACAGATGCGTAACTTTGCGTATGTGCATCACGTGTATTGTATATGGCTATTTCGGAGATGCGAGAAGGATTCGGAAGTAGATAATTAAGAGGAAATTTACTTGATTAACTAACCTAACCTAACCAAACCATATTCAAACGCCGCGCCCGCCTCGCCGGGGCCACACATAGGTGTATTTGGTCTATAAACCTGGCCAAAAGTGATATTTTTTTATTTTCATTTTTTATCTTAACTGAATACAAATCTATAAATACTAAATGTAAGCACGTTTATTAGTTATTAGCTTTTTTAAGTCGTAAGTTGACTGTCAAATAAATAATATATTTCAGTTAAAAGTATGAATTATCTTGAGTGTATTCTGAATATTTCTAAGATTATAAAAATAGTGGAATTGTTTGTAGTGCTTTTTCTGCAAATTGTTAACCTTTAGTTCTTAATACCCCCTGTGCGCCGTCGGCGCGTGCAAAAGCAGAAATAAATAAATTTTCGTTCCGGTAAAAGCGAGAACGCCGATGAACGCTGGTTGACGGTGCTGCCTGCTTCCACTGTGAACTAGCCGATTTGATAACACGCTTTCATTTTTTTTGCGCGGCGCGGCGCTACTATGTAACCATATACAGGGTCCCAGAAATAAGTGCAAGTATTTTAACTTAACTGGTAGTATAGTTCAGCCCAGAAACATGCCTATGAGGGTTTCTAAATACTTTTTTTGAAAATTCAGAATTTTTGAGAAATATTTTTGGAATTTTTGCAATTTTTTAGTTTTTATTTTTTAAAAATAATTTCTTGATAATATAGCAACATAGGTGGTAGATTAAATTTACAAGAAAAAAATCCAGAAAAGATCCAGTGGTTCTCAAACAAATCTCGAAGTATTGGAAAGAATGTGTAAGGACCAAGAACTATTAGAGAACAACGGCATACGGTCGAGTCGGCCGCTGCTGGCACGTAGACGTAGACGTAAAGAATCTTTTACGTGTATAAAAAATAAAAAATATAAGAAATGCGCATGCGTACGTAAACGTTTACGTGTTTGTAGGCCGACTCGACCGTATGCCGTTGTTCTCTATTGACTACAATAAAACGACGGAAAGCAGCATATTTTGGTCATATTTTTCGAAATAACAAATATAGTTTCCTACAACTGATCGTTGAGGGAAAGATTGAAGGACGACGAGGCATCGGGCGTAAACGGTTTTCCTGGTTGCGGAATTTGCACCAGTGGTTTAATATAGGAGAGGCCAGTGCAATTATCCGTTTGGCTCAAGACAGGGAGGAATTCCAATTGATGGTCACCAACCTCCGATGAGGAGAAGGCACATGAAGAAGAAAAAAAAATGTTCTCAAAATTTTAGTAAAAAATATTTTTTTTTTGGAAATTTTCAAAGTAAAATAACTCCATTATTTTGGACTTATTTGAAAAACGATAAAGAGAAAATATTTTTCTTTTATCGAGATCTACCACCCTTTAAAATACTTGCACTTATTTCTGGGATACCCTGTTTATAACAATACACGTGATGCGTATACGCAAAGTTGCGAACGATGTCAAGAATAGGTGCCCAGATTGGCGCTGACTACCAATAAGCGGCAAACCTGCTTGCACTGTGTTCGCAAACTAAGAGGCATTTCCGACCTCTAGTGTGCTATATCAAAATTAATATTTCGACGCCCCTATCATTCCCTTAAAGCAAGACCGACTTACAGGAATCACACTGTATATAAAGACCAATTGTCATTGTATGTTTTAACAGCTGGATTTCAGGAGGTCGTTGTAACATTTTAATGTAATGAAAATAGTAGTTTTAACTAAACAAAAGGCAGATTTAATTTCAAATATTATTGATTTCTCTATAAACATTATGACGGACCATCTCTATATAATTTCTTACCCTATGACAAAGATAAAGGAACAATCAAAATATAAAAAGCAAAAACAATCTACTTCCGTGTTTATTTCGCTACTGATATACATTACAAAACACAAAAGCACAATAATTCATTTCTAGACCGACACGTTAAAATTCATTTAACATTTAATAAAAAGCGTTTTTAAAAAGTTTCTTGCTTCCAAATTTATAACAAGAATAAATAAAAATATAATATTTTTATATACGAGACAAAAAAATTCAACTAAAAATTTGTGCCTAATAAATATTAATAAAATTGCAATAAAATTTCTTGCTTTTTCTACAGCAAGAATAATTAATAAAATATTTTAATATACAAATTTTATATGACGAAATAAATTTTCAATAAATTAGGACCGAGAATGGACGGAATCGGCCTTTAAAGGATAAAATTGATGACAAGAAATGACACATAAAAATTGACATAAATAAAATAATAGAACATTCAATAATCTGACTGGATATCGTCGGTCTCAAAATAATACACTGTACCTAAACCGGGAGGCTCACCGTCCACTGCCTGAGATCTTTTGAGTGTTTGTTGTCTGGCTGGCCACGAACTCGTCCTGCAAAAGAGAAGCATTGATAAAGTTCATTAATACAAACTACTGGATAAAAAGACAATAAAATATATACTCTGTTTTTTTTCTCAGGTAAGATTTCGACAGACGATGACAGAAGAAAAGCAGATGACGTCCCATACCAATCTATTTATTTTACTAAAAAAAGTTTCTAATAATTTTTAAGTTAACTGTGGATGGGTTTAAATATAAATCCGTCATACGTCGTCTCTTGTTGTTTTTAACCAGTTTTATTGGTTTATTTAAAAAATGACAGACGTATTTCAATTTTATTGGTTTGACGGAACGATGAACGACAAACGGACGCCGATGCGTATGAACTCGCCTTTAGATTTTTGACGCTTGTCAAAGTCTTGCCAAATTAAAGGTTATAATTTTGTGACAACTTCTGTCAAATACCCTTCGTTTTGGAAGATGATGCATTTTGATTCGTGTTATTACGTGTGTTTTGTGTCTTTTGAAGTCAAGCGGAAGAAAAATCGAGTGAAAATTAACTGTAGAACCCAGAGCACAGTTTATGGTTAATACTCGCTGCCCAGGCAGAAAGTCTTATACAGCCACCAAAGCAGCCACCAATAAAGTTCGTATACCATCTCGTCGTAGATAAGTGAATCTCGAATATGGTAGAAGGATCAAACTAAACACATACTAAAAACTGGAGTAGCTGTAAAATATCGACATCACACGATAGATAAATAATGGATTTTAGTACTGCAGAAAAATAATGTCAAAAGGTACTGGTTTAAAAAAATTAAGATTAAAGTTAATTAATCAACCTGTGAGGTATAAAATTTGGTAAGTGTTATTATTAATAAAATAGTTTGTTTTATTGATGTTGTTTTATTTATTGCTGCGGAATATTACAAATTTGTATTTGTTGCATAAGTTATATTGAGTAAATATAATCATAAATGCAGGAAGTTTATATAAAGCTTTAAAGCAAGAAATAGTTCTTTTATATATTTTTGGTATGTAGTTGTTTGTTTTGTATTAACACGTACCTTTTTTTATTAAATAAGATAACTCGATTACATTTTTTCAGTTTTATACAGTTTTTCTCATAATATTTTGAAGTTACTTGTCAGTCAAATTTTAAATACATATATTAATTTCCTGCTATGCGTTCCAGTTGCACCAACTTATTACTTTGTGAAATAAAATAAACTACTTTGAAATTAAAATGACAGACACATCTATCACTGTCAAGGATCTTCTCGTTGGACAGACTATATAAACATACTTGGCAAAATCGCGAAGTGTTTTCAATATAACTAAAGTGAATAAACAGAACACCCTGTATATTAATTCTTTGTTAGATGGGGAATTAAAAAATGAACATTTTTTGTATTTACAGTAGGTATTTAACATTTTTTAACGGTTTCGCAGATACCCGCGGTATTATTTCATATGGCTCTTTCAACGGTAAAATACGAGAGAAAAATCATCGGGTGGTTTTGATAAAAATTTACTGTGGAAAATGCAATATAAAATATATCTCTTTTTAATACATTTGATTTTCCATTAAGCTGCCTACATCACTGTCTTACAAGTTAAAATCCAGACCGCACTTCTAAAATGACCAAATCGGTATATCTACTGTGTCATACCTTTCCGCTACGACACTGAGCAACGCGGGATTTCTAGTTGTAGGCCTGCTGCCGCCCTCGCCCAGATCTTCATCTTTTTCGCCGTCCGAGTCGTCCATTTCGTGCTCGTACCGCCTCTGGATCAGGTTCTCCATGACCATGTAGTCGGATTCCTCCGCGCTGCGCAGGTGCTCTTTCTCAAAGTTGATCGCTATTTCCGGGTTGGACATCTCCGACGGGTTGCGCTTGCGCGTACCTACAAAAAACAACAGTTAGCGACAAGAACATCATACGAAAAGACTTTTATGATCCTTGATGATTTAAACCTTTATGAGCGATAAAAAAAATCAATAAACAACAAAAATCAGATCCTCATATTATCGTCTTCTTACAGTACAGCAGCTTTAAATTCAATACTTTCCAAGCAGCATTTGGACGTCGGGACAACGTTGTGTCACGCGACCAAACGTCGGGGCGCAACGTCGGCACAACCTCGTGCCAACCCTAGTCTGCACTAGTTTGGAGAATAATTTTTGGGTCGAAACGACGTTGGATACCTACATTGGCTAGCAGCCTAATTTAGTACAAACTGCAACGTTGTTTAAAATCCTAATTCACAGAAATACAAAACTATAATAATATGGCGTCTAAGTCGCGTTTTATCCTAAATTGGGATAATTATAGTAAAAATATTATTTTTATGATTTAGTTAGAGACATATGCCGGATGGCAGTAAAGGAAAACAAAACAAAAGTATTTAAGTGTGGAGGATGTTTGAAGATCATAATTATTGAAACACTTTAACAAATTCTAACTCGTTACCCAAGACAAAAAAGTTAAACGCAAACAACTTTATTGATAAATGTATTGTTTCTACTTTGAAAAATACTAATGGGCCTTAAAATTAAAGAAGTTTTAAAAAATTTCTTAAATTTTTTTTTAATAAAATGAGAATAATTTATTCGAAGTCGAAAAAAAATTCCGCGCGTTGTTTAGGGTCAAATATGTCAAGTTAATGCATTAAAAAAGCAGGAATTGCTATTTCAGGAACGAAACATTTTCTTATTCAACAACATGGCGGCTTTCACTTTGTTGTTTTGAAGATTAAGATGGAGTAGTTCGAGTATAGTCGCATACTGGACTAATAAAGTCGCAGTTCAGTCTTAACAGGTAGTATACTAGTCGCAAGATTGCCTAATTTAGTCATCCTAGAGTCTAGCTTGTGCCGCCCTCTATATTCTAAATAAACGAGGGAGTAGATAAAGTATCGGTAATATGTCGATGTATATTTAAATTTATTTATATGTGCCTTTCTTACGTCCCATTTTAATTAAGTTTTTTTATAAAAACAAAAACAGCACTGAACTGTCTGACTGAACAGAACAATGAAGTGAAAATTTAAGATTTAAGGTTATGGTTCAATACAGTTGCAAAAAGGTAGTGGCTCGACGTCCTATCAACGTAAGAATAAGGAAATCTAAACAACGTTGGAATTAGTAAAACAGACGACGTTTGCATAACTTTGGAATTGGTCCTGAAAGTGACGTCGGAAAACTGTTTACTGCCCAACATTGTAACTACGTTTTCCGAATCACCTAAAGATCACTTAAGCAAAAAAGGTTGCAAGACAACGTTTATTCGACGTCGCAGAAGCTTTTACTTTGTTGTAGTACTAGTTCAACGTCGGCACAACGTTACAACAACGTTTACATTTATTTTAATACCCAAGGGTACAGAGCTAACTATTTTTTGTAACTAATCCAACGTTGTGTTTAGTAAACATGTGGTCGCAAGTCGTGAAAATGCTACTTGGGTTAGTATATACTGCTACGGATACTTCAGTATTCTACAATCAGCTATGGCAATTTATAGCGTGTCCTAATTGGAGGGTGGACCATTGGGATATTGGAAACAATAAGGTGTAATATGAAAAAGGTCAAATGGCAGGTGTAATATGAAAAAGGTTATGGCAAACAATTATTGAGCAATAATAAATAAATATAAATATAATACAAATAAAAATAATAATATAATAAAAAAATAATCTAAAATCATTACAATCATGTAATAAAATAAACACGATTTCAAAATAAAGACTAACTTAAAATTACTTTATTATTTATGTAAAAAGTAATGACGTATAAAGATGTGTATGTGTAACGTGCTAATATACATATAGGTATGTGTAAAATTAATTGGTGATATTACAAACGAACTAGTAACATAAACTACGTAATATCTACAGCCACCATCTACTACCGCCACAACCCAAGAACTTTAAACTTATCATGATACCCAGATCATAGTCGCTTAAGGTAAAACTATAAGGTAACAATATTCTAACTTCTAAGCATAAAGCCCGGTTGACAGGGTACAATTTTACTTGGATCAAATACACTTGGACGCTGCGCGCGTCTAACTTGTAGTCTGCTTAGATCTCACACAGTTAAAGCAGAGAAAAATCGGGTTAAAGAACGGCACAAAATTTATTTGTATTTACACATTTGTGTTTCACAAATTGATTTGTGAAACAATTTTTTTTAATTTTAAAAACTGTAAATATACATTTCTATCCCACTGATTCCACATTATTTATAAAAGTAATATCGAAAAATAAAAAATAAAACATTGGTAGTTTTAAAATTTAAAATATTCTTAGTAATATAAACTATTGAAAAACAGAGAGACACTTCTTATGATTAAAGGATATATTTATTTAAATTAGATTCCACCTTTTAAAATCCTCATATGGATTTGGTTCAATAACTATAATTTAAAACAATTAAATAGATTGAAAAATGAGTTATTACCTTGCTTAATATTTTCAAATTATTAATTTATTGTATTAAAATAGGTCCATTTTTGTGTTACACAAGGCTACAAAAAAGAAAGATTGGCGATTGGTTCAGTTAGATCAGATAGTCAAATGTATCTAATGTCTCTTCAACAAAAATGAACGAGGTTTATAAAATCTCAGATATTACCAGAGACCCTAAAATAGTACGTTTTTTCCTTTTCTGTTTAGACATATTATTAATGTAGAAAAAATTATGTAAAATTTAATTTCAGCCAGCAAAACGAAATTGGTACATATAAGACCAACGTGTGGTTTAATAGATCTAAGGGTTTAACGCCGGCGCCGGTCAAAAGTTATTTACATAACGTGGATGTTTTAGCTTTGTTTGAAAATAAACATTGAAAACAAACCACGTGATCAGATGCGTGTAAATGAAGCTTAAGTTCATTGCGGTCATCGCTAGTAGATACACAATAAACTGTTAAAAAACCGTTTATTGTGTAACTCCACTGTAAATAACAACGTAACCGCTAGCGATGGTAAGGCTTATTACACAGAAGATAGAGGGGGTGTAGTTAGTTTTGTAGCCTGGTGGCAGTCTGTGATTCTGGCCGATCAAAGTGATGAGTATTAGCTGTATCTTTTGTATACTAGTAAGACCTGACATTTCTCTATTTAAGTTATGCAATATTGATAATATTTTCTTAATCAATAAATAATATATAATTTTTTTTAATATAATTAGAGAGAATACCTAGAGGCTCTAGAAGCATCCCAGAAAGAGTTGGGCTGCAATAATATTTCACTTAACGATTTGAGTATCATAACATCCAGTTTAAAGTTCTCGTAAACAGCAAACTTACTTGGCGGCGACTGCTCTGGCCGCGGCGGACTCAATAGCCCCGGACTCTTCGGGGGCGGACTCAGCAATCCGCAAACCGTCTCCAGCTCATCTGTGATACTCGCATATTCCGTGTGCATGTGCATGAGCAACGCGCCCCTACCGCCGCTCGGCGGTATCACCTTGATCTTGGGCTCGGTGAAAGTAACGCCCGCAGTTGGGCCGACGTTGCCCGAAGCCGAAGGGGGGACGTCGGTCGTTTCCGGCTCCGACTGCGTCTGCGAGAACTGGCGTCGGCCCAGGGTGATCTTGCTGGCGGAGGAGGATGTGTCTTCGCCGCCTGACGAGCGGTGCACGGGAACAAAGGTCGTGTTACGTAAAAAGGGGAGACAGATGTGAGGGGCATGCGCGGAATTTAGATTCAATCTAGGTCCCAGAGTAATGAAAAACTGAAGCGTCGCTTGTTCCTAGCGCTCTGTGTCGCTCTTATTATTTTTTTTAATTTTCGAGTCCCACGTTGGGCACGAAAAATGTGGCGCTAGGATAATTTTCGACAAGGAAGAATACTTTGTATGCTTTTAATTATGTTGATTTGTATTTTATTATATGACTGACTTAAGTAAAAGCACACGTTGTGTTCACGCATGTCGAGAATTATTTTAAATTGATTGAAAAATTCATCCTTCTCAGTAACTTTTTATTTGCAAACAAGATTTCGAGAAGGAAAGAAAGATACCCTGTATATAAGAAATTATATTCTGTTTTGCACTACTCTGAGATATAGATAGAATAATAACGTTTATATAACCATAGGGTGTTTCAAAATTATATACCAACTAATCGTATTAATTAATTAAGTAAAAAAAGGTTCTGTCTCCGGTATATTGGAACATACGCTATAGAAAAGTCTTGGGATAAACAACAAATTAATATTTCTAAATTAGTACTTAATTAAGAAACACTCTGTATATTTATTAAACAAGACACTCATTGATTCTTGTAGAGTTCTAAATACCTTATGATCAAAAAAAAACTGCGTCAGCGATGGTTATGAAATGAAGATCGCTGTCATTTTATATGTAATGTAAAATTATATGAAGAATGTCATCGATGTTCATTTCCAAGACATCTGAGCGCCGTTTTTTTTTTCGATTATACGGTACATACCTTAACCTAATTATTCATTCAACATTAATACCTAGTAATATACATTTCTTTAAACATATATACAATAATATTAAAAATATATGCTAAGTATGAGTTAGGAGTTAAAAATTATACAAACAACAGAATCTATAAACTTGCTAAAGATAGAAGTATAAATGCAGAAAAGAATTCTAAATTAGACATACGGTTTTTCCATCAGAATTAAGTCAAACGATGATTTGAACATGTTCGAGTAGGAGCAGTTCTACTGAATGATGCCATCTAAATGAATGAACTAAGACCATGCCGTGACTTCGGTATTGGAAATGTCTTCTTAAGGATGTGAATGATTGAAAAGATGTTTATAATTTAAGTACAATAGTATATTATACAGGGTTGTTCACCACATACGACACGGAGTATTGTAGCCAAACGATTAGATTTTTACAAATTGTAAGTTTTGGGTTCGTTGAAGGACTATTAGAGCTACAATTTAAAAATATTTTTACAAGATACAGAGTGTCCCAAATAAGTAAAAAATATTATAGTTGTATTTTTTTAAATGGAACACCCTGTATATTATTACATTTTTAGTTTCTACGATTAAAATAAAGGTAAATTTGATTAATATTTATTATACTTAAACCTTACCGTTTTTGAAATATTTTTAATTTTGTGAAATTGCAGTAAAAATTTTAAGGCTTCATTTCTCCAAGGGTATCAAAGTTTTTAATACTAAATATTTACTGAAGTTTATTTATTGATCAGTTATTGTGTTGCAGTAATAAAAATAATACTACCTTATACAGAGTGTCTACAAATTTATTTTAAATAATTTCTAGATTTAAACGCCAATAACTTCTTTAATTTAAATGGAACGCCCTGTATATTTTAGGAGAATCAGATGCACACTTTAATTGTCTATCAAATTGTATTATACCATTTTTTTTCACCTATCCCTTCAAGTTTTTGAAGAAAATGCATTTTCTTATAATTTAGACCTCATTTATCAATATACCCATGGAATATTGACATTTTAGATTGTTTTTAAAGCAACAAATGTACAGGGTGGGTCAAATTCGACGCTTTTAAATGGAAACACCCTTTTCTGTAGGAGATAGACAAAAACTAATGTCGGTGTCTGGAGCTCAATTTTTGTCAAAAACATGATGATGAAAACCGCATATCGATATATGTTACAGTTTCGGAGTTACGGGGTGTTTTTCAAAAATATGCATTTTTAACAAATCGCTGTAACTTTTTTGCTATGGAAAATTTTGTATTTTTATGAAAACATTTCCAAAGCACCTTTTTACGTAAAATTTAATGGTTTAAGTATAATTTTTTTAAAATTAATAATTTAAGAATTATCAACAGAAAATTTGATTCTTTATATAGGACACCCTGTATATTTTTACTTTATTGAAAATAATTTAAAATTACCTTTCCAAAAATATAAGACATTTGAATCGGTCATTTCAGAAACAACATGAGTCATTTTTTTCTGAAATTGATATTTCCACATTAATCTTCTTTTTATACGCAAACGCACCATTGCGTGCAGAAACAACACGAGTCTTGCCTTAACTTAATGTACTGCAGCCTATGAAAATACCGGATTCCTTCAGAAACCACATGAGTCATGAATATCTCAAAACTATAATTTTTGACTCATGTTGTTTCTGAAATGACCGATATTGTTTGATTATTGAGTTGTTTCTGGTCTATGACCGACAAATATACATTTGATATTTTGCTCGATTCCTCTTCGAGATATAGAGTATATAAAAATTCGCCCGCTTTAAATAAGTAGGCTTTGAACAGCACCGGCTGTAATGCAAAAAAATTCTAGCTGTGAGCATCAATTAAAACGAAAATAATATTTGCAATGAGAGATGCAGAATTTTATAACAATTTAAAATATATTTAACCAACATTAACACATTTAAACTATATCTAATAACAATAAAAAATAAATAGCAAACCAAGACATGAGATTTTGCTATAGGTGTTGTGACATATCGACCATCTTCTGTTATGGACAGACGGGGCAGTTTTTGAACATTTCTCGCGGAATTCATTAACTCAGGGGGGGTGAAAGATACCCTCTCATAACTGCTAAGTATTTCCAATTCTTGTCTAGATTATACGGAAGAATAAGGAACCTTTATTCTTGCGCAAATATATCCATAGAAGCATCATTGGCACCTAAGTCAGGCGGTGCTCGACGACCACGGCTGGGATTTGGTTATCTATTGCAATTATTCTTAAAATTGGCTACAAAAATTTTGGCTGAAGGAACATCAAGGCGTCTTGCTGGTAAAATATGTTTTCGAGTTCCCTTAAAGGCATATCATCAAAAAGGGGTCCTACAGGGCCCCTAACTTAGTTAAAGTGGTTTGGAACTTTTAAAAAAAAATTCTGTATTTGGAAAGGGGATTTATAAACAAAAAATATCGAAAGGGTTGTTGTATATTTTTGGGGAAATAAATTACTGTTCTTGCATTTTGGCTTTTTATTTATTACTTGTCAAAGAGATTAGATGTCAAAGAATTTTGATACGTTAATTTGGCTTACCTGCTTAAGTAGCGTATCGGATGTTTGTGTTAATAAATGCGTATAACTTATCTATTTTACTATTAGAATTATATATTTTATAACAATTTTAATAACTACCAACATTTATTCTAGCAATAAAATAAAAACAACAAATTGTGGAGTCTACCCCACGTCTACTACATCCTTAGTTTTGCATTTTTTTAAATAAAATTAGAACGACACTGATAAACCGGAATTTAAGTCGGCCATATTTGAGGCCCATCGCGGTGTACCTAAGATTTTTGATATGCTCCTTCCTTAGTCTTCTTATTCAAAGTTTAGGACAATCTAGAATGGCCTGTTTCTATAGGTACCAAAAAAAAACATTAATAACAATAGCAACATACTCCGTTTTCAAACAAAAACGATGTTTGATCGCGATAAAATGTAAACAGTTTTGTCTCCTTTAGGTTGGACATCTTTGGTGAGGACCCTCTTTTGGTGAGGACCTCTTTGCTGAGGTTTTACATTCGAAATCCTGAATATTTAATTTGTATAACTAAAATCTTTTCAACCATTCACAAGCTCCAAACACTCAGATGACGTACGTAAAAAGTGAGGTAGTTGTTGTTTGGAGGGGGAGGTTTTTTTAAGAGAGGGAGAGGGGGAGAGATTATGGGCACACAACCTACCTACTCTCCGGAATATGTGGCAGAAAGATAGGCTTTTTGGTGTGAGAAAGGTGGTCCGAAATTCACATGCTAGCAGCGTTAAGAGAAAGTTCGTTATAGTTCGTTAATTCAATTTGGGGTTACAACAATCTTATTTACAAACAGAGCCTGTCTCTTCTAAGTTTTTTTAACTATAATAAAATGAAAAAATAATGAAAATGTCGGGGTGTGTAGAATATGCACTAACCAAGACTACACAAGCTACACAATACAAAAAAAATCTTCAGTTGATTTGGTATATTCGTTAAAATTTAAATTATTTTAGATTTAGGTAGAACGCTACACCTTAAATATAAATATTTCAAAACTAAATAAATTCATATTCCCGTACATATACAGGGTGTCCCAGAAATAAGTGCAAGTATCTTAACTGGTAGTATAGTTCAACCCAAAGACATTATAAATATAGACCGAACATCTCATTCATAAATACTCGTTGGTAGTGTATCAAACATTCCAACGTGTCAAACAAGGACAGAAGAGATAGAGAAGTCTAAAATTTCCGAACCCGGCAACTAGGCGCATTTGGATTGTTCTAATGGCCAGTGGCGTATCGTTTTTTGGAAGAATTTATTAAAGTAAAGTAAAAGTAAGTTACCTTAGGTAAAAGTGTTACTCATATTAGAGAAACATTATACACGTTTATTCTTACACACACTCACTGTTTTTAGAGGTCTAAATAATAAATGAGAAGTAAGTCGATTTAAGATGATCCCCAGCATATAAATGCTATCGTGTGGAAGTACGTTAGTAGGTATGTTTCGAAAAAATCGCTCCAACGTCGATTTTCATTTTAAACTTTCAGTTACTTCTAATAAACTTTCAGTTACTTTTGAATATTTACAGGGTGACTCAGGCTTCCGAAACAGTTCTATATGAGGTTTGTGGTTGGTGACATTTTTGTTCAATTTTTTTTCACAGGAAT